CCCAAACCCTCCTATGATTCTGTGAACCTCCCTGAGCACCAAACTAAATTTGAGAGATTTATGAGGCCATGAGAATGACCCATATCACTTTATGGCGTTTTTTTTAAAGATGACATAGTAAATACTGAGAGTTGTCTGTAGTCCCTGTCTCCAAATGCTTGGTAAGCACCACCTTACATATTGATATCGTACCCAGTTATCAGGGGTCTGCTGGGCTGGCTAGTAGGTGTTTTCATGTGAGACGCCCACCTTTTGTCAGAGAACGTCATTCCCTTCTCTCAGACATTCAGATTAAATACAGCTCACCAAATCCCACCAAACACTAGGTTTTTCCTGTGGAAAAGGACAAGGTCTCCCAGGAAAAGCTTCATACACAGCACAATCAGGTCACTGTGTGCCACATCCCCTTGACTCATCTGGGGGAAAGCATTGACTAAACAACACTATCGTTGTCTGGCTATTTTTTTAACAGTTTTCCTTTCTTTGTTGTTTTTTATTTTTTTCCCCCACCTATTCCAGGTAAATTTTATTCTTTTTATCAACATTATCAGAGTCCTAGCAACCAAGCTACGAGAGACGAATGCAGGGAGGTGTGACTCAAGACAACAGTACAGGTGAGTCACATACCCTTTTCCACATTTTGGCACGATGTCAAAGTCCCTGTCTCACCTCTTTGATGAGACAGGGAGCCCAGGGTGACTAGTTCATGGTGTCTACACTGTATGCACCTAAAATAAGCTGAGAAGAATGTCGTCTTCCAAGTCTGATAATGCAGAACAAATCAACAGCAGTTTAAACATCTAAAACTTTCAAATCCAACCTGGGGACTTGCCTCGTAGGTTAAAGAGCGGAATTCAGTCTCTTTAGCCAGTTTGGAAGTGACTGTGCTGGCCCTGAACCAAGAGCTCGAAAATAAAACCATTGCTTATGCTGTTGAAGCTCCTAAAACTTGTACCAATTTATTTATTTCTCTCCTGTGCTTTGTAAAACTCGGTCTAGTTGTTCAATCTGCCCTTCAGCGAGTGTTTCAGCACTTTTGCTGAAATGAAAAAAGATTCTTGACTCTTTGCTGGAAATCTGACCTTTCCTAATTTGTTTTGTTTTCCTTTGTTCTGCCAGCTCTTCTCTCTTGATAATTTAGGGTATTTGTAGCATGGGCAAAACTGAACAGAGAAAGCAGATTGCTGAGGCACCTCGGCTGCTTGAGAGCTCCGGAGGCTTCTCATGATCTCCTGAGCTAGACTGACCAGCATGACACATGCAGAGGGGAGAGAGCAGAATGATTTGGGCTGCAAACCATGAGCTCATTGCTACCATCTCACTCTCCAAACACAAGGCGTTTCATTTGAAGCAGGAAACAAGTCGTGTCATTTGAAGCATGAATGAGATTTGGCAGGAAAACACCTCTCCATTTTATTTTGCTGCCCTGTCAGGGCTCTGATTTATCTATTTGTTTATTTCTCCCTGGCTGAAACTTGCTATTAATTATGGTTTGGATGGGGCCTTCTCCTTTTAATGTGTTAAATTCCCTCAGTGGTTTCCAGTTGCTGGACAGAGGAGGTACCAGCTCTTTCTGCTAGTGATGTCTGCCCTTCTCAATAATTGTCTCCATTTTATTTTGCTGCCCTGTCAGGGCTCTGATTTATCTATTTGTTTATTTCTCCCTGGCTGAAACTTGCTATTAATTATGGTTTGGATGGGGCCTTCTCCTTTTAATGTGTTAAATTCCCTCAGTGGTTTCCAGTTGCTGGACAGAGGAGGTACCAGCTCTTTCTGCTAGTGATGTCTGCCCTTCTCAATAATTGCCTGCACTTGGTGACTTGCTGTAACTCTTGGCAGAAGGTTTAATCCTTCAATTAGCATCACTTCCAGGCAAGGCTGGTTCCCTGAGGAGCAAACCCAGCCAAGTACTCCGGGTTGTATTATACCTCCCTCCAGCCCCCAGCGTTGGTCTCGTGCTGAGATGGAGCTTCTTCTTTAAACAGGAGCTTTCTAGGTGATACTAGAGTCAAAATCACCTGCTAAGAGTCTTCACCTCCTGCTTGGTAACCACAGTGCATCATCCTCTTCTGCTCCTAGGTACACTTCCCTTTCTACCAGCCCTGCTTATTGCACAGGAGGCACAAACCCAGGGTGGACCTTCATGTCTTGCCTCAACAAGCAGGCAGAATCACAGAATGGCTGAGGTTGGAAGGGAGATCTGAAGGTCAGCTAGCCCAAACCCCCTGCTCACGCAGTGTCAGCTGCTGTAGGTTATATAGGACTGTGTCCAGTCGTTGTAAGCTGAAGCAGAACCATCCCTTAGGGACAGGGAGATTTAGTGCCAGTCAGAGGCTGAAGGGTGGAAGCAGCAGCGCACATTTCTTTCCACTCCCCCTTCCACCTTCTACCCATGATCCTGACCCAAACCTGGGGATAGTCTGAGGCTGAAAAAGACATCTCAGTGTCTTCATCTTTGGTACCTATGGCAGCATTACATGGGGGCGTGCACGTGGAGAGGGTTAGACTAGCACAACAAGACATGCTGGAGGATGGACTGTGATGTGTCCTATGCCATAAGAGAAGCAAAACTTTGAAATTGCAGGTGAACACAGTGCCTGTATAAATGTAAGAGCCTAGCCAAGGGGGCACGTGAGCAAGAATGAAATTGTGTATGACTTGTGTCCAAGGTATGAGGTGCACAAGCCTGGCTGGGATGTTCGTTCCATCCACTAATTTTCTTTGTGTCTTTCTTCTTCCTTGTTGCTGCAGGAAGCTGCTGAAATCTACCCTCGTCCTTATGCCTCTGTTTGGCGTTCACTATATTGTTTTCATGGCTATGCCATACACAGATGTGTCAGGGATTCTTTGGCAAGTTCAAATGCACTATGAAATGCTGTTCAACTCTTTCCAGGTATTGTAACTGTTAAACTATGGGGGCAAACTGAAAATTTCAGTGGGGAGAGGAGGGAGATGATGGAAGATGCTTTGGAAGCAGGGCTGTTTTTACAATAGACCAGATTTCATTCACTAGTTGATTTGACAGTATTTCAACATCAAGGGTGTTTTATATTTGCAAAACACAATGTATGAAGGCTCAGTGTGTCCAACAAAAACATATTCCTTTTGAAAGATAACTTGCCCCATAAAATTAATCCCTTTAGATCCAGGTTAGATGTAAGTTCGTAGAGATCCACAGAGCCACGTTGTTTCACAATAGCTTCCAATTTGCTTGTCCCACGTTGTCATTCAGTCCTGTTGAGTAGATTCCAGAGTTCTAGGTTTGGGCAAAAGGCAGGTCCAGTTACAGGACTGGTCCTGTATAAGACACAGCAGCAAGAATACACAACTCTACAAGCAGAACAGTGTTTAATCAGCCTTCACACCCTCCGCTGAGATTAACTTTTGGCTCATGCTACTATCAGGTTGGCCAGCGTGGATGACGGAAGGTGGACAGTGGGTCTGGCTAGATGACAGTTTAGAGAAACTACTGGGGAAATGGAGGCCAAACTTGCATTCATGTGCTTCCCCAATTCCTGTTAGGTGCAGGTGGGATTAAATAGTGGGTGACCTCAGCAAGACCTGGGTAAACTATTGGCCAACAAAAAGATGTGGATTGTTTGCTCACATCTGAATTCCTTCGCTGATACCACTCAGCCAGTTGTGCTCCACCCATGGGCTTCCCCGCTTGCAACCAGGGCTGGCCAAGTCCCATCAGAACCATCTTCCCCATCCTACAGCAGGATTAGTTATGTGTAAAACACTGGAAATGTTTATCCAGTATGTTCATAAACACCTCCAGCAAGGGAGACCCCCACCACCTTCCCAGGCACCCATCACTGTCTCAGAAACTTTGTAAAAGATCTGGGGGTGAAAACAGACCTGTTAGCTACACCATGATGTAGAGAGTTTGTACAGACCACGTTTCTTATGGATATTATACAGCATATTATGAATGTTAATGATTACAGAGAAAGACAGGGACGCTGGGCAGAACCATTAGGAATGATACGCGTAGCAAAATTACTGTTAATATGTTGTTTCTTCTTCCTTCCAGGGATTTTTTGTTGCCATCATATACTGTTTTTGCAATGGAGAGGTAAGTCAGCAGCTTCTTCATCCGTTCCTTTGCTAGGTTAGTTCCACAGGCAGATGGTAAAGCGGATGCACATCAGCATATCCCCACTTACTCTTGAGACACAGCCCTATTTTGCACCCAGCGAAAGATCTGTCAGTCCACATAGAAAATTCATGCCCTCGGTTTTGGTCATGTAAGACATCCAGGTCAATATGTCACCAATAAATGACCTACTGGAAGTAGCTAATGGAGAAAAAAAATGCTGGTTTTGATTCTCTCAGCACAAATAATGTTTAGTGCTGCTTAATTTCAAGTCTGTGACAGCAAGAAAAGAGGATTGATAGAGTAGCTGCGTAACCAGCTGTTCTTTTGGTTGTCCAGACTTCTTTTGCCTTTTTTTTTCGATTTCCAGAGTGATATGCTTTAATGTCTTTTTTCCCATTAATTCCCTCTATGGCTGCAAACTAAGAAACTACATGGATGCACACTGGGAAAGAACAGAGCTTTTTCATGGCCCAGCATCAGACTGGTTTGGCCTAAGTTTATGGACTTTAAGGGGAAATACAACTACAAATATGCTGCTTACGTGCTACAGCATAAAACTGGGATGAAATCCATACCATAAAGGGAATTGATCTCATCCTAACTTTAGCCATCCAAAAGCGGGACACTCAGTATAAAGTTGTCAACTCACATCTTTCTAGAGGAACCTTCTAGAGACTCAGGCACCTCCGAAGGTGGTTCATCCCGCTTATATTTGATGCTCATGGTTCATTGAGATGACTCACTCCTGGGTATGCTGCTCAGTCTCCCTTGACCCCGGGAGAGAGTTAACCCATACTTTCAGTTAGATGTTTTCAGGCATTCAAGCTTCCCAATGTCAAATATTTCATTTGTCAAGGGCGGATTTCATGTGAATTTACTGTTCTTTCCAATTTCACAGTCCAGACAGTTCCTCATCCATTCTGTCTGTGGATACTACCTCCTCCTGATGATTCTCTGCCCCCCTTTCTCCTCCCACTCATGCTTTTTTTCCTCCCTTGTCTCTCAGGTCCAAGCAGAAATAAAGAAGTCATGGAGCAGGTGGACATTAGCACTTGACTTTAAAAGGAAAGCACGAAGTGGGAGCACAACCTACAGTTATGGACCAATGGTTTCCCACACCAGCATCACAAATGTAGCCACAAGAGGGGCACTTGCCCTCCATCTCAATACGAGACTTATACCAGGGACCCTCAATGGACACCGGAACTTACCAGGTTATGTAAAAAATGGCTCCATTTCTGAAAACTCCATGCCTTCTTCTGGACCAGAGCAGTACAACAAAGATGAGGAGTACCTGAATGGCTCTGGGCTTTACGATGGAGACAGACCCACAGTACTTGTTGAAGAAGAAAGAGAGACAGTGATGTAAAGAGAGGAGGAGGAAAAAAAGAAACAAAAGGATGAAAAAGGTTCCTGGAGAGCATTTAGTGGGCAAAAGAATATCAGGCCACGCAACGGATGCCAAGGGTTTCCATACAGTTTCTCTGTTCTGTGGAACAAGAGGTTAAGTTATATGGGAAAAAAAAGTGAGCCACCAATGTGGCCAGCTGTCGATCACATACATGTACTCAGTGATCTAAGTCTCCCTGGTGTTAATGAAGGCAGGGCTAGCCAGACCCGCGGGGCTTGCTACCTGCCGAACAACAGAGATACTGAGAGTTCGCGAGGGAGGGCTGCAAAGCAGCACGTGGTCCTTGGACCCCTTGGAAAATGTGGGCAACCAAGGAGGACAGGAGTCTCACCCAGTAAAGCAAGAGTTTTCGTGGGGAGTGTACAGTGCCATCTTCTTGCGATGGTACAAGCCACCCTGGGCATCAGCGTCCTCAGTCTGGTTTGCTCTTTTCCCTGTACAGTCTGCCTGGTAACACACACAACACTGATCGAGACCCCTCGGGGGTCATGGCCTTGCAGACAAGCGCTCAACACGGACAGCCCGGTACAACCGGTCGCATGTTCTTCCCTTGGTCAATCTCACTCCTTGCCAAAACGCTCCTCTGGGGTGGGCAGGGTTAACAGCTCATGGTTGCTGGATGTAGGCAGAAAACTCAATTCTCCTTTCCCTGGCCTGAGTCTCCAGTAGCAAGCCAGAAACCAGTGCAATTTTAGGATGGAAAATGTGGTTATCAGAATGTGCGACATTTTTGTTCTTCCAGATGCAGCAGCGGAGAGGGGCCCCCCAAGCGGGTTGAGGCAGGGAGGGGGGTTTGCTGATCTTGGGTATGTGTGCCTGTGCATGTGTGTGGCTAAAATCAGTTCAGAGGGTAGCTAACTGCGCCCTCCCTTTTTGTAGTTGCTCATGGAAACAGGCTTCAGTCATTTTTTAAACCTTTAAATTGCTTCTCATTCTCCTGTCTGATTTCCCTGCTTTTCACTCATCCAAACTTTCATGAGGAGAAAGAGTCCATCAACAGTCTGCCTGTATCACCCAGAAGCACAAGCTGCTGGGTACAGCCAGACAAACCTAATTTCATGAGGTTCAAAGGCAAAATTTGCTGGGTAAAAGCACAGGGATTGTTTGTGGGTGGGCTCCCGCTGAACATCTTCGGAGCTGTCCTGTTCTTTATGGTTTGGTCACACACACGCATGTGCACACCAAGTCAGACTCGTAGCTGGTGTAAACAAGTATAACCAGCCAAAGTCATTGAGTTTACCTCGAGATGCTGAGATAAGGAAATGTTATTGCGTTGTCTCCGAAGGGAAGAGCGCAAGGAAATGCCTCTTTCCTACAGGAGAGAGAGAGAGAGACCGGGGAGATGATGTCACTGTGCTGGGTTGCTCTTGCTGGTGTTTTTTCTCAAATTGTGTCAAAAGGCCATTTTCTGACATGCTTTGTGTCTCCAGCAGTGATAAAGAGGTGCCATCCTTGTTGGCCAACAGTCCACACCAGCTGAGCATCCAGCGAAGGGTCTCTGCCAGTTTCCAAGCATGTTTTAGAATTGCTCAGAAGTGGGAAGTTAGGAACAGTGACCAAACTTCCTACTGCAGCACGTGCTTTCCCAGAGAAAGGACTCTGGCTGAGCCAACCTGGACTCTCTCTTCTGTCCCTGGCGTAACATCACTATTCCCTTGCTGGAGTGAAGGATTCAGGTCTTCATGGTGCTTTTTTGGTTCTTATTTCTCTTTTTCCTTCCTGGCAAGTTTCTAGTACCTGAAGCATTTTGACCTCAACTGGCTGTCACTCAAATGGGATAGGAAAGGGATATTGGGCAAGTTTGCAGAAGCCCTTTAGGATGCAGGTGGGGCCAACGGGATCATAGAATGGCTTGGGTTGGACAGATACAGCTGCTGGGTCACATCAACCAGCATTTCTGACATGCATCCAGTCATTGCAATCAACTTCTGAGGGCAAATTAGGGACTAACATCCCCAAAACTCTGAAGGAGGTCAGGAAGAGCAGTTGGGATTTTGGCTCTGTCGCCTACATCTTCTTTAAGCAACCTCTCAGGTTAGGACCTCATCCCAGTGAAGTCAAGGGAAAAACCTCCTCGCCTCGACACCTCTCCGTTTTGGATTCAGACCTCTGTAGGGGATGCGTAGCTGCTGAGAGGCAGCCCGTTGTCAGGCACTGAGGCACCTTTTCACCAGCTGCTGTCATATATGAGTAGGTCTTTAAAAGCCAGTATTTATTTGGGATGTTCTCTTTTTGGTTTGTGTCATTAGAATAAGTCAAAACTCATCATAACCATTTACCACCAAATGTCAGCTGTTGAAATGTCAGGTTTTCAGAGAATAATCTTTTTTCACGCTCTTTTGTTCTTGTTGTTGTTTGTATACTAACAATAATATTACGGAGAAGTTAATTAATCTTGCAAAAGAAGTCAACTCTAGTGGAAGTTTGGCATGGAGAGCTAACCAGCTCTGCAGAAATCTGGGTCAGTCCGGCTACGCTTACTGCTCTCCTTTTCCTAGCAGATGCTGGTATGGCTTCTGGAGGCAATCAAAGTGGGCAGAAGTTATTAACAATCGGCTGTCAGAGTCCGTACAGCTGCGTTATTTACCATCCTATGTGGCTGAACCCCCGATGAGAGAACACCGAATATGCTGGCTCTGGCTTTCCACCCTTAAATTCTTAAAATACTTAAATTCTGCCAAGTTTCTGCCAATCAGGACTCTACTGATTTTCTCGCTCCGAGAAATTTCTTACTATCATTTCACTGCTGGAACAAAGCTAAAAAAAAAAAGCCCATCAGTGACTCAGTATGTGCTTGTGTTTGTTACTGAGGACTCAAGATTAATAACATGTTTGACAATCACTTAAGCAAACTTCAAGGAATTAGCAAAAGCCATAAAATTATTTATAAACAAAATACAAGACCCCTAATAAAATGCAGCCCTCACTTAAATGCATTCATCATTGGATTATTTAGAATAAATGTCTAAAAGCTATTGTTAAAGAGATAAAAATTGTATGTGCAAGGGAAGTACAGGGGAAGAAATCTTTTCTTAATCCTTTCAGTTATGAAAACAGATTACATACATAATTGATTTTATTTTTTGAAGGGTGTTCATGTGCATGAATAATATTCATGCAAAATTTGGGAAAATGCTGGTACCAAAACAGGGGAATAACTCTGCCATTAAGGCACAGAAGACTAAGCCTGTTCCTGTATTTCCTGGGCTGATGACAAACCCTTGATTGAGCATAGGCCATGATCTGTTAGCTAGAGATCCAAGGATATCCTCCGCTGATTTTAATAAGGAAGGAACCAGACCTGTGATGTCTAGAACTGAGATCAAAATACAATTTGCAGTTGCAATTTGCCCTGGATAGGCAAGGAGAGTGGTCCTGCAGGCACCTAAAAGCCTCTAGATCCAGAGTGGGGTCACTTTCTCCTTCGCTGGGGACACAGGCGGGCATGTCTCAGGAACAGTTTATCCCTACCCAAATGTCTGAGTACACCTGGGGTGGCCGCTCCTCTCCTGACTGACTTAGTAGTGCAAACACAGCCCCGAAGGTCACAGAAAACAGAGATGTGGTGAGGTGAGGATGTGTCTGTGATTTATCCACTGACCCCTGTAAACCCTGCAGGCAGGACAGGGCTTGTGCCGGTCCTGGTTCGGGTCCGACATGGGGTGGTGGAGCAGAGGGAGCAGATCACTTTGGAGTTGGAGTGCAGCAAACACATGGGGAAAGAGACTTTCCACATCCACTTCTAGTAGGATGAAAACATCTGAATGAGTTGGTTGACTGTATTTTTCTAGTTTTCCTTCCTCCATGGTGTCAGCTTTGTGTACCTTTTCTTCCCATCCTGTACAGCAGTTATCCACACTCAGGAGTCCTGTTGTCCTAACATCCTCACTTCTCTAAGCCTGCTGGGCTGGCACAGGGCAAGCTGTGCACTGCAATAGCATAGAATCAAAGAATCACAGGAAGGTTTGGGTGGGAAGGGGCCTTAAAGACCACCCAGTCACACACCCTCAAGGACACCTTCCATAGCCCAGGTTGCTCCAAGCCTCATCCAGCCTGGCCTTGGACACTCCCAGGGATGGGGGATCCACAGCTTCTCTGGGCAACCTGTCCCAGTGCTCCCACCCTCTGCGGAAAGAATTCCTTCCTTACATCCAATCCCAGTCTCCTCCTCTCTTCCAGTTAAAACCCATTACTCCTTGTCCTGTCACTCCCTGCACTTGTAAAAAGTCCCCCTCAGCTTCCTTGTAGCCCCCTCAGGCACTGGAACAGGCTCTGAGGTCCCCTCGGTGCCTTCCCTTTTCCAGGCTGAACAAGCCCAAATCTCTCACCTGACTGGCTCACATAGGGAAGAATTTTCCTGCCCATCTTTTGGATGGGTGTCTTCTCCAGTGCCACGGAGATGTTGGGCTTTGACAGGGAATCTCACCCCCTGCAGATTTATCTCACCTCTTCTATTCCCACCCGCAGCAGCACAGTCTACTTGTCCTTGTGAATCCTTCCTACTTGATCTGTCTCTTTCCTGGATGGACACAGAGCTGTTAAATGTTCTTCAGCCTTGTGTTTCTTAAGAATGATTTTTGGCAGCAACCTTGTCATTTCTGCTTTGCCTGGATGTGTGCAGACAAGTGGGTTTGCACCTTCTATGTACTGCTTGGTCTTGGTCCAGATGAGATCATGTCTTGTCCAATTCCTCACCGTTCCTCAACTCTGCTTCTACTTGTCTGACACATATTAGGGCCAAATCAGTTCACAAAGATCTCCCAAAATAGAACTTTTCAGCCAGGGATTGGTTCTGTTTATCTGTTTAGGGGCAATTGCCTGAAAGTTGTAGAACATCCACAGTGCTGGTAAGAATTTTCCATTTCTTAAACTATGAAAATACATTAAAAGAGATCTCCAATTTTTTATTCCTGTTTATTGTTTTGACAAACTCAATGGCTGGCTTAAAAGTTTTTAAATTTCAGGTTCTGATGCTTCAAAAAGTTAAGAAACTTCATTTAGAGGTTGGGCTCTCTCTCACTGACTGAATTTTTTGCACGCCTTCCACCTGGAAAGAATCAAGCAGAATTCCTGATGATGAGGAGAGTGATCAGTATATCCCTTAAC